TGTGGTAGAGGGGTGCATGGTTCAACACAACACAGTGTGGTAGAGGGGTGTATGGTTCAACACAGTGTGGTAGAGGGGTGCATGGTTCAACACAGTGTGGTAGAGGGGTGCATGGTTCAACACAGTGTGGTAGAGGGGTGCATGGTTCAACACAGTGTGGTAGAGGGGTGCATGGTTCAACACAGTGTGGTAGAGGGGTGCATGGTTCAACACAGTGTGGTAGAGGGGTGCATAGTTCAACACAGTGTGGTAGAGGGGCGCATGGTTCAACACAGTGTGGTAGAGGGGCGCATGGTTCAACACAGTGTGGTAGAGGGGTGTATGGTTCAACACAGTGTGGTAGAGGGGCGCATGGTTCAACACAGTGTGGTAGAGGGGCGCATGGTTCAACACAGTGTGGTAGAGGGGCGCATGGTTCAACACAGTGTGGTAGAGGGGTGTATGGTTCAACACAGTGTGGTAGAGGGGTGCATGGTTCAACACAACACAGTGTGGTAGAGGGGTGCATGGTTCAACACAACACAGTGTGGTAGAGGGGTGTATGGTTCAACACAGTGTGGTAGAGGGGCGCATGGTTCAACACAGTGTGGTAGAGGGGTGCATGGTTCAACACAGTGTGGTAGAGGGGTGCATGGTTCAACACAACACAGTGTGGAAGAGGGGTGCATGGTTCAACACAGTGTGGTAGAGGGGCGCATGGTTCAACACAGTGTGGTAGAGGGGTGTATGGTTCAACACAGTGTGGTAGAGGGGCGCATGGTTCAACACAGTGTGGTAGAGGGGCGCATGGTTCAACACAGTGTGGTAGAGGGGTGCATGGTTCAACACAACACAGTGTGGTAGAGGGGTGCATGGTTCAACACAGTGTGGTAGAGGGGCGCATGGTTCAACACAGTGTGGTAGAGGGGCGCATGGTTCAACACAGTGCGGTAGAGGGGTGCATGGTTCAACGCAGTGTGGTAGAGGGGCGCATGGTTCAACACAGTGTGGTAGAGGGGTGCATGGTTCAACACAGTGTGGTAGAGGGGCGCATGGTTCAACACAGTGTGGTAGAGGGGTGCATGGTTCAACACAGTGTGGTAGAGGGGTGCATGGTTCAACACAATGTGGTAGAGGGGCGCATGGTTCAACACAGTGTGGTAGAGGGGCGCATGGTTCAACACAGTGTGGTAGAGGGGTGCATGGTTCAACACAGTGTGGTAGAGGGGTGTTTGGTTCAACACAACACAGTGTGGTAGAGGGATGCATGGTTCAACACAGTGTGGAAGAGGGGTGCTTGGATCAACACAGTGTGGTAGAGGGGTGCATGGTTCAACACAGTGTGGTAGTGGGGTGTATGGTTCAACACAACACAGTGTGGTAGAGTGGTGTATGGTTCAACACAACACAGTGTGGTAGAGGGGTGCATGGTTCAACACAGTGTGGTAGAGGGGTGTATGGTTCAACACAACACAGTGTGGTAGAGGGGTGCATGGTTCAACACAACACAGTGTGGTAGAGGGGTGTATGGTTCAACACAACACAGTGTGGTAGAGGGGTGTATGGTTCAACATAACACAGTGTGGTAGAGGGGTGCATGGTTCAACACAGTGTGGTAGAGGGGTGCATGGTTCAACACAACACAGTGTGGTAGAGGGGTGTATGGTTCAACACAACACAGTGTGGTAGAGGGGTGTATGGTTCAACACAACACAGTGTGGTAGAGGGGTGCATGGTTCAACACAGTGTGGTAGAGGGGTGTATGGTTCAACACAACACAGTGTGGTAGAGGGGTGCATGGTTCAACACAACACAGTGTGGTAGAGGGGTGTATGGTTCAACACAACACAGTGTGGTAGAGGGGTGTATGGTTCAACATAACACAGTGTGGTAGAGGGGTGCATGGTTCAACACAGTGTGGTAGAGGGGTGCATGGTTCAACACAACACAGTGTGGTAGAGGGGTGTATGGTTCAACACCGTGTGGTAGAGGGGTGCATGGTTCAACACAACACAGTGTGGTTAAGGGGTGTATGGTTCAACACAACACAGTGTGGTAGAGGGGTGCATGGTTCAACACAACACAGTGTGGTAGAGGGGTGCATGGTTCAACACAACACAGTGTGGTAGAGGGGTGTATGGTTCAACACAACACAGTGTGGTAGAGGGGTGTATGGTTCAACACAACACAGTGTGGTAGAGGGGTGCATGGTTCAACACAGTGTGGTAGAGGGGTGTATGGTTCAACACAACACAGTGTGGTAGAGGGGTGCATGGTTCAACACAACACAGTGTGGTAGAGGGGTGTATGGTTCAACACAACACAGTGTGGTAGAGGGGTGTATGGTTCAACATAACACAGTGTGGTAGAGGGGTGCATGGTTCAACACAGTGTGGTAGAGGGGTGCATGGTTCAACACAACACAGTGTGGTAGAGGGGTGTATGGTTCAACACCGTGTGGTAGAGGGGTGCATGGTTCAACACAACACAGTGTGGTTAAGGGGTGTATGGTTCAACACAACACAGTGTGGTAGAGGGGTGCATGGTTCAACACAACACAGTGTGGTAGAGGGGTGCATGGTTCAACACAACACAGTGTGGTAGAGGGGTGTATGGTTCAAAACAACACAGTGTGGTTGAGGGGGTGCATGGTTCAACACAGTGTGGTAGAGGGGTGCATGGTTCAACACAACACAGTGTGGTAGAGGGGTGCATGGTTCAACACAACACAGTGTGGTAGAGGGGTGTATGGTTCAAAACAACACAGTGTGGTAGAGGGGTGCATGGTTCAACACAGTGTGGTAGAGGGGTGTATGGTTCAACACAGTGTGGTAGAGGGGTGTATGGTTCAACACAGTGTGGTAGAGGGGTGCATGGTTCAACACAGTGTGGTAGAGGGGTGTATGGTTCAACACAGTGTGGTAGAGGGGCGCATGGTTCAACACAGTGTGGTAGAGGGGTGCATGGTTCAACACAGTGTGGTAGAGGGGTGCATGGTTCAACACAGTTTGGTAGAGGGGTGCATGGTTCAACACAGTGTGGTAGAGGTGTGCATGGTTCAACACAGTGTGGTAGAGGGGTGCATGGTTCAACACAGTGTGGTAGAGGGGTGCATGGTTCAACACAACACAGTGTGGTAGAGGGGTGTATGGTTCAACACAGTGTGGTAGAGGGGTGTATGGTTCAACACAGTGTGGTAGAGGGGTGCATGGTTCAACACAGTGTGGTAGAGGGGTGCATGGTTCAACACAGTGTGGTAGAGGGGTGCATGGTTCAACACAACACAGTGTGGTAGTGGGGTGTATGGTTCAACACAGTGTGGTAGAGGGGTGCATGGTTCAACACAGTGTGGTAGAGGGGTGCATGGTTCAACACAGTGTGGTAGAGGGGTGTATGGTTCAACACAGTGTGGTAGAGGGGTGCATGGTTCAACACAGTGTGGTAGAGGGGTGTATGGTTCAACACAGTGTGGTTGAACCATGTACACTGTGACTTAAGCACCTCTACCCCTTCATTAGTTCAAGTATGCACTTGCTACCATATCTGTCACTCCAGTATGTTGTTACTCTACTGTGCAAATTTGAGACCTGGCCCTCTAGTATCTTCTCTGTATATGTTATGTGGTACCTCTCTCGTCGCCTTGCCAGAGAGTACATTTTGAGAACTTTGAGACGGTCCCAATAATTTAGATGTTTTGTCGTTTCTATGCGTGCCGTATATGTTCTCCGTATTCTCTCTAATTCACTCCCTCCCTCTGAAAGGGGAAGGTGAACATCGAGCAGCACTGAAGTGGAGGAAACACAAGTAATTGGAATAATCTGAGCATTGTGATGGAGTCCCTGGATTTGAAGGTTTTCATAATCCACTCAATAATTAGTTTCGCTGAACATATATTTGATTAGTTATGCACATTAAACGTCAGTTCATCTGTCATCATTATTACCAGATCTTGTACGTGACTTTTCCCCGAGTCATTTGACCCTGACTGTTATTAACTTCTGAATTTTCATATGTAAGTATTTTTATTAATTTGTACCATTCCTAAGTGTTGTATCTGGAATTTACCACTATTAAAATCCTATTATTTTCTACTGCCCACTTGAAGGCATTATTTATATCCGTTTATTCTGCTTCAATGTCTTCCTCAAAGGTCATTTTCATGCGGATTTTTTGTATCTCTGCCAAGGATGACATAAAGCATTGCCTTGTATTTTGTCTATATTTGATATGAGAATGAGAAACAAAAGTGGTGCAAGTAGAATGCCTTGGGGTACCGAGATTTTCACTGTGCTTGGACTAGACTTTGTTTGTGACTGTTACTTCTCCATTCTATTTAACAGGAAATTCAATGTTCTTCTCACTACTTTACCTGTTATTCCAATGGCGTTCATTTTACTGTATCATTCCATGGTCACATTTATCAAATGCTTTATTAAGGTCTATTGCTTTAATAAGGCACGTTATATTTCTTCTAATGATTCCGTGAATTATCACGGTGGGTGAGTAATTGTAAAAGACTGGATCTTCTCGCTCTAAATCCATGTTGACCTGGATTGTGAAGTTAATTGTTCTCCATAAAGCTGGAGATTTAACTCCTGATCACTGTGTCAAAAACTGTGTGTGATGTTAGTGTGATCAGTCAACAATATTTAGCCAATATTTAGCCAATACCTTCCTTAGGAGCAGAGTTATATTTACTCATTTAAGTACTGCTGTTATCTCCCCCGTTACCAAGCTTTTTTGTCATGGTACACTGAGCGCTCGTGCTACTGGTACTTTATAATTCTTAATATACAGTGCCAGGAATCTGGACCAGTGACTGTTGTCGATTACTTTATCAAAGTTTGCTTTGCATGTTATATTGTTCAAGTTTTGTTAGAAAGTCGGGATCCAAGAGCTAATGGCTCGATTCTGCAGACACAAATATGGCTCCAAAGTCACATTAAGCCGCAGGCTCCACTCCTGGTGGTGCAAGAACACACCCACCCGGGACACTGAGACTAACAAGAGGTGGTACTCACACTCGGAACTGCTTGAGGAAGATGTTGACGTTGAGAGACCTCTTCCCGTCCAGCAAGTTGATCTGCCAACACACACAAATATAATCAAACAATAGTCATGATAATACAAGTTCATTTCTGACTATTTCATCAGTCTTGGATAGTTTGATGTTTGTTTATGTAAGATTAAAGATGGTTTTCAAAGATATTATTGACCCTTAAGTTATCCACAAAGGTGTTCCAGATGGCAAAAGTGTCTCCATCAACCAACAGAAGAACAGAAATATTAATGCAAATCACCAATTATTCATCAGAGGTTTTTCAATAATTATCCTTTTAAGTCCTATAAGTTTCTAAGGAGATTCTTATCATTAGAGAAAAAGTCCGAATATCACCGAGTAAAAAACCGCTATCGCAGACCCTTCACATTCTGTGAAGACAAAGCCTAGATACTGGCGTTATCTTTGACATACTAAAAACAGCAGAGATAGCACCACTCCATAAAGGAGGAAATAAGGCAGAGGCAAAAAATTACAGGCCGATAGCACTAACATCACACATCATAAAAATCCTTGAGTGTTAGGAAGTAAGATCACAAAACACATGGAATCACAGCATCTCCATAACCCTGGACAACATGGTTTCAGAACAGGGCGCTCTTGCCTGTCACAGTTGCTGGACCACTATGACATGGCATAAGATGCTATGGAAGACAAACAAAACGCTGACGTAATTTACACAGATTTTGCAAAAGCCTTTGACAAATGTGACCATACTGTAATTGCACATAAAATGCGTGCAAAAGGAAAAATTGGCAGATGGATCTACAATTTCCTGATTAACAGAACCCAATGTGTAATAGTCAACAAATAAAATCCGGACCATCAACCGTGAAGAGCTCAGTCCCCCAGGGTACTGTGCTTGCTCCAGTACTTTTTCTCATCCTCATATCGGACATTGACAAGGACACAACCTATAGCACTGTATCATCCTTTGCAGATGACACCTGGATTTTTATGAGAGTAGACAACATAGAGGACACGGCAAACCTCCAATCAGATGTAAATCAGGTCTTTCTATGGGCTACAAAAAATAATATGGTGTTTAACGAAGATAAGTTCCAGCTCATGCGCTACGGAAAAAAATAAAATATAAAAACAGAAACCACAAACAAAACGCAGTCAAATCATTACATAGAACGAAAAGGCAATGTAAAGGATCTGGGTGTACTCATGTCGGAAGACCTTACCTTTAAAGAACACAATAAAGTAGCTGTCACAACTGCATGAAAAACGACAGGTTGGATAACAAGAACTTTTCACACTAGAGATGCTATACTGATGAACATACTTTTCAAGACACAAGTGCTCTCTAGAGTGGAATACTGATGCACAATGACAGCCCCTTTCAAAGTTGGAAATATTGCTGACCTGGAGAGCGTGCAGAGATCCTTTACTTCTAGAACCCACTCAGTAAAACAAATCGACTAGAGAATGGTCCAGGACGGACTTAAACGTCGTCGTCCCTTCACTTTTTAGTGTGTGGTTTGGTCAACACTCAGTAAAACATCTAAACTACTGGGACCGACTAAAATGCCTAAATCTGTACTCTCTTGAGCGCAGGCGGGAGAGGTACATAATAATTTACACATAGAAAATATTAAAGGGGCTGGTCCCAAACCTACACACAAAAATAACACCACATGAGACCAGAAGTAAGTAACTGTCAAAAAGAAGGCACCAAACCTCGGGTCTCGTAGCCTGGTGGATAGTGCGCAGGACTCGTAATTCTGTGGCGCGGGTTCGATTCCCGCACGAGGCAGAAACAAATGGGCAAAGTTTCTTTCACCCTGAATGCCCCTGTTACCTAGCAGTAAATAGGTACCTGGGTGTTAGTCAGCTGTCACGAGCTGCTTCCTGGGGGTGGAGGCCTGGTCGAGGACCGGGCCGCGGGGATACTAAAGCCCCGAAATCATCTCAAGATAACCTCAAGAAACCGGGAAGGCTATGTAGCACTATCAAATGTGCGGGATAATCAGAGTGCGCTAAGTATCACCAAGGATGCCAATACGAGAACAGAAACGCATAAGGCGAACGATATCAAAAGTATCAGAGTCACCAAGAATACTATCGAGAGACAGCGACCGCGGGGGACGGTCGGAAAACAAGACACACGCTCGTCCCAGAAGTCAGGACATTCAACAAGAATATACACGAGCGTAAGAGGGACACTGCAATTAGGACAAGAAGGAGCAGGGCGGCACTCCATCAAGTGACAATAAGTTAAGCGAGTATAGCCAATACGCAACCTCTCCAGAGCCATTTCCCATCGCCGGTTACGGTGGTAGGAGGACGGCCACGAGGACACACAACTCTTTAGAGTACGCAGTTTGTTACCAGTAACAGACGACCAACAAGCCTGCCAACGGGTAAGGATGGAGGAATGGATAACCCGGTAAAAGTTGGAATAAAGACTACCTTTACGAGAGATGGGACAAGAGCGGACAGCTTTCCTGGCGGCAGCATCTGCACGCTCATTTAAAGAGACACCAATATGGCTGGGAACCCAACAAAACTCAACCGACTTAAATTTACTGTGAACAAGAAACAGTCAATGCTGGATCTCGACAACCACTGGATGAACTGCATTAAAGGACCAGAGAGCCATGAGGGCACTACGAGAGTCAACAACAACTACAAAGGAAGACTGACAACGAGAGAGTAGGAGGCATAGAGAATAGCATAAAGCTCCACTGTGAAGATGCTAGTCTCCGGAGGAAGGCAACACATATAAGTATGATCAGGAAAAATAACAGAGCAGCCAACACCTTCCGCAGACTTAGACCCATCGGTGAAGACGGAAACGGAGTGAGAGTGAGAAGAAAAGTGCTCAAGGAAAAGGCGTTTTAGAACCGTAGGAGATATAAAAGCTTTAGTGATGCACATGAGACCAGAAGACATGGCAGGGTGTGCAGAATACCCCAGTTGAAAAGCAGAGGTGCAACAGGTACTCTGAGAGAGAACTCTATCAACATCAGAGGCCCGAGACTGTTCAACACGCTTACACTACACTTAAGGGACATAACTGGCCGACCCCTCACAGTGTTCAAGAGAGAACTATCAACATCAGAGGCCCGAGACTGTTCAACACGCTTCCACTACACATAAGGGGCATAACTGGCCGACCCCTCACAGTGTTCAAGAGAGAACTATCAACATCAGAGGCCCGAGACTGTTCAACACGCTTACACTACACTTAAGGGACATAACTGGCCGACCCCTCACAGTGTTCAAGAGAGAACTTGATAAGCACCTCCAAAGGATACCTGATCAACCAGGCTGTGACTCATACGTCTGGCTGCGAGCAGCTGCGTCCAACAGCCTGGTTGACCAGTCGAGTTGACCAACGAGGAGGCCTGGTCGACGGGGACGCTAAACCCCGAAAACATCTCATGGTAACCTCAAGGTAAGGTATCACAGCATCAGTACCGAGCTGAGTGGACAAGGTAATGTTCCCATGTGGCCGGATACCACGGATACGTGGCCGGATACCACGATACGTGGCCGGATACCACGATACGTGGCCGGATACCAGGGACACGTGACCGGATACCAGGGACACGTGACCGGATACTTCAGTCAGACAGCCAGATACCACAATCAGCAGGGTAAAATATCAGACACCGAAATATTTGAGGGGCCTAGAACATAAGATATTCCTAGAATACAAGTGAAGCCTTAAGAGAGACCCAGAACTTAAGAGAGACCCAGAACTTACGAGAGACCCAGAACTTAAGAGAGACCCAGAACTTAAGAGAGACCCAGAACTTAAGAGAGTCCCAGAACTTAAGAGAGACCCAGAACTTAAGAGAGACCCAGAACTTAAGAGAGACCCAGAACTTAAGAGAGACCCAGAACTTAAGAGAGAGTCCCAGAACTTAAGAGAGAGTCCCAGAACTTAAGAGAGACCCAGAACTTAAGAGAGACCCAGAACTTAAGAGAGAGTCCCAGAACTTAAGAGAGACCCAGAACTTAAGAGAGAGTCCCAGAACTTAAGAGAGACCCAGAACTTAAGAGACACATATCATAACAATGTCTATAAATTAAAGGTGGTGGACATAAGGTGAAGACTGAGGTTTAGCCACAGCGAGGTACGGTAACAGAGGCCACCATGATCCAAGAGTGACGAAGGTCCCGTCTTGAATTTGCGTTAGTGTTGGACATTGTGTCCACAGAGTTAGTTTACCGTAATAGATTACCTGGAGAGGGTTTAGGGAGTTCTACTCCCCAAGCCCAGCCTGAGGCCAGGCTCAACTTGGTCCATAACTTGGTACAACAGGCTGTTGCTTGGAGCGGCCTGCAGGCCCACATATCCACTACAGCCTGGTTGGTCCGGCACTTCTTGCCAGAACTTGTGTAAGTGCCTCTCGAAGGCTTCCACCTTTGTTCCAGCAAAATTGCTAATGCTTACTTTGTGGGTAATTTGATCAGCAGTATTTTTATTATTTTAATTATTATTTATTTTAATTATTACTATTTATTTTTATTATTAATTTATTTTAATTATTATTTTTTAATTATTATTTTTTTAATTATCAATATTTATTTTAAACCGGACAAGATTCTGTCACGTGGTGTAGCGTCTCCAAGCGGCGGTCCACATTAATAACAGCCACACGTCTCAATTCACCCTTGGGTATCATAGGGTAAACATTATAACGGAAACACTGTGGAAATAAATGCTCTACCACTACAATACTGAACGGATACATTAACTTCCCAGGAACTGATGGTGTTACTCCGAGCTGCACAACTCCTCCAGATAACTTGTGGTAAACAAGACAGTCTCAGGGAGTCTCTCAGTCCCGATTTCAATATGGCGAGTCCCCTCCGTCTTGGCTGGTGGAGATCTTCGCAGATGCGTTTGATTATTTTCCAGAAGGAGGGGCTTTATTAAGTTTATTTAATTACTCATAATTAAATTTTTATTTGGAGTATTTATTTTTTAATACACTTAGTCCTCAGACTGGAGCTTTTAGAGTTAATTAAGTAATATGGTTTAGGGTTTGAGATGAAGGCGACGCGGTAATAATAATTACTCGTTTTCTAGAGCAAATTTGTCACGTAAGCCATCTATCTCTTCAGGGCTCACTAATAAGATTTAATTGATGTGTTAACTAATTCAACAACAGCAGTATTTTATTTCTGTACGTTGCATTAAGGAATTTTTGTGTGATGTGGGAAGTGTTCCCATATGCTGGGAGGGTATTGAACAATGAGCAACTGGAGTTAGCAGTTGTTGAGGCTAACTCTATATTGGCTACACAACTCATGTAATCGAATTCAGGTTTGTATCCTGTAACCGATTTCCAGATGGCCTTTACTTCCGAATAGAGATATCCTTGATCAACGACACTGTTTGTATTGGCCATGGCCTTCAGACGCAAACAGCAGCAGGGGACCTACTTGATCAGGGATATTCAATAGGAGAAAATTCTTTGGAACATGGCGGTGGACTAGAAGCCGCGTCCTGGGTGTCCCCGGACCCGCCCCCTGCCCCACCTTCCACCATACCCCAGCAGTAAGAAAAACTTTTGCCAGGGGCCTGACGGTTGAGTGGACAGCGCTCGGGATTCGTAGTCCTATGGTTACGGGTTCGATCTCCGGCGGAGGCGGAAACAAATGGGCAGTTTCTTTCACCCTGATGCTCCTGTTCACCAAACAGTAAATAGGTACCTGGGAGTTAGACAACTGCTACGGGTTGCTCACTAGGGATGGTTAACAAATAAGGAGGCCTGGTCGAGGACCGGGCCGCGGAGACGCTAAGCCCCGAAATGATCTCAAGATAACCTCTAAAACCTGGATTTCGTCCCAACTGGCCAGGAATTTGGAGGCCAAGAGCTGACACCCAATCTAACGAGGTAGTTTATAATGAACTATATTTTCATAAAGACTTTGGCTTCCTCACACACGGCTGATATATAAGGTGAGGCAAGAGATACCTACACCCACCACGTTACTGTGGTGGGTGTAGGGAGCACCTTCCTGGAGACACAGTCACAAGTAACACGTGTTACTGTGGTGGGTGTAGGGAACACCGCTCAAGACACAGTCACAAGTAACACGTGTTACTGTGGTGGGTGTAGGGAACACCGCTCAAGACACAGTCACAAGTAACACGTGTTACTGTGGTGGGTGTAGGGAACACCGCCCAAGACACAGTCACAAGTAACACGTGTTACTGTGGTGGGTGTAGGGAACACCGCCCAAGACACAGTCACAAGTAACACGTGTTACTGTGGTGGGTGTAGGGAACACAGGGTGTAGGGTGGCCTCGTAGCCTGGTGGATAGCGCGCAGGACTCGTAATTCTGTGGCGCGGGTTCGATTCCCGCACGAGGCAGAAACAAATGGGCAAAATTTCTTTCACCCTGAATGCCCCTGTTACCTAGCAGTAAATAGGTACCTGGGAGTTAGTCAGCTGTCACGGGTTGCTTCCTGGGGGTGGAGGCCTGGTCGAGGACCGGGCCGCGGGGACACTAAAGCCCCGAAATCATCCCAAGATAACCTCAAGATAACACCCCTCAAGACACAGTCACAAGTAACAAGTCGCGGGGAGACAACTACCAAGTGCGCGTCTCTTCAGTTTCTAATGTTTCCAAGGAATTATCTTCCTGTATAATTATTAACTAGAATTATTAACTTCCTGTATTCCAGTGGTGGTAGATGGTACTAAGTGGGTTTTTTCAGGGATATTCCTGCGCGGGCCCTAAGCCTCTGGCTGGCCCATTAAGTGTTGCTTGTTTCTGTTTTACTTGGTCGGATTATGAGTATTTATGACTCGTATGGTCACTTCAGTAAGATTTTGTCCCATGTGTTTAACAACAACTTCTGCTCTATTGAATCGAAGGTCTCGTGGTGTAGTGGTAAGACACTCGCCTGGCGTTCCGCGAGCGCTATGTCATGGGTTCGTATCCTGGCCGGGGAGGATTTAGTGGCGCAATTCCTTAACTGTAGCCTCTGTTTAACACAACAGTAAAATGTGTACTTGGATGAAAAAACGATTCTTCGCGGCAGGGGATCGTATTCCAGGGACCATAGGATTAAGGACTTGCCCGAAACGCTACGCGTACTAGTGGCTGTACAAGAATGTAACAACTCTTGTATATATCTCAAAAAAAAGGTGAAATCTTATTGGGTATGTAACTGTGCACTGTGTTAGATAATGTTCCAGTGGTCTGTCTGGCATTTCTTGACAGTGCTGACATTTCCTCTTATCTTCTGGAACCTGTAAACGTATTTCCCATGCACATGGGTATCCAAGCCTGATGCGATGTTAGGTATTAAGCTGATTACTGTAAAGACTTAGGAGGAGTGTTCAATGCTTCATAATGGCCTTGACCAGCCACAGGGGTTGGTCTAAACTATGGCTGCAAGAGTTAAACCCTAGCAAGTGTAAGGTAATATAGTGAAACTGCCAAGAAACCCCGAAAGAAGTACACTGTATGGGAGAGGGAATTACAGGAATCAGAAAACATTGAAGGGTTGATAAGTCGGGGTAAGAGAATCATTAAGATAGGTAGCGCAGCTGTACAAGATAAAGCCACCAGTGTATATGGGAAGCTCGTAAACACTACAACATTATTACAACCTTAAGGATTTGTTCAAGACAATTTACAAAGCTTAGGCGGACCAGTTACAGAACTTACAGCACCGAGCAGAACTCCTCTTGTCATGAAGCACAAGAACAGAATAACAACATCCAGACGAGACAAGAACCTAAGGAGACCTGCCCATTATATTCAATATATTGAAGAAACTATTACACACACAAATCACAATAGCGTGATGCCTTAAATGAACAAATCCACAAGGGCCGCGATGAGGGTTCGAACCTACGTCCGAGAAGTTCCCAGACGCGCCTTAATCGACTGTGCCACGATGTAGTTAAAGAGACAAGACGTAACATAGGTAACAAACAAATATGTAGTAACAGGGGACATGAACCTCAAGAGAGTTAATAAGTACATGGAAGCATCAGCTAAGAACCGAGCCTAAAGAACTAGATCTCCGTCCCTGAAGACGCCGACTAGGCGAGCCTCAGTACAAGGCTACTCAGTACCGCTAAGTACAAGGAAAGTGGCGTTAAGAGCCTCTTCTCCTCGTGACACCAAGAGCCACCTACCTCCGTTGGCTCCTTCTTCTTCTTCTCCACATCATCTTTGGCATCTTTGGAGGTCTTGGAGGGCGAGGTGGAGGGGGTGGAGGTCGTCTGCTGGCAGAAGAGGCCCTCCATCTCCTCCCAGTCCAGGGCGGTGGTTGGCGAGTTCTGGTGTTGTCGCGCCAGCTGTGACCAGATGTTGTTCTTGGCCAGCACCTGGAGCACCATACATGGTTGGTGGTTGTTGGGGCAGGGGTGGTAGTTGGTGGTTGTTGGGGCAGGGGTGGTTAGTTGGTGGTTGTTGGGGCAGGGGTGGTTGTTGGTGGCAGGGGTGTTGTTGGGGCAGGGGTGGTTGTTGGGGCAGGGGTGGTTGTTGGTGGTTGTTGGGGCAGGGGTGGTTAGTTGGTGGTTGTTGGGGCAGGGGTGGTAGTTGGTGGTTGTTGGGGCAGGGGTGGTTGTTGGTGGTTGTTGAGGGCAGGGGTGGTTAGCTGGTGGTTGTTGAGGCAGGGGTGGTTAGCTGGTGGTGGGGTGGTTGTTGGGGCAGGGGTGGTGTTGGTGGTTGTTGGGGCAGGGGTGGTTAGGGGTGGTGGGGTGGTAGTTGGTGGTTGTTGGGGCAGGGGTGGTTAGTTGGTGGTGTTGGGGCAGGGGTGGTACACCCAGGACCCCCCCCCCCCCCCTTTAGAGTTCACACCCAGGGAAGCCTTCTCCAAGAGGTCAGCCCAGATGACCTCCGGTTTATCTTATATGTTGATTAAAAAAAATTCCTGGGTTAGTCTTAGTCAGCATAGTTTCAAGTATGTAATATTTCATGCAAGGGAATTAGACCCCAGATTCTTATGTGTAAACATCCCTGGATCTCCCCCTTTTGGCCAGGTCAGAGGTCAGTCACACACGTAATTAATAACTCCTCTCTTGAAGAGTGTATGGTGAATGTCAAACAAGCTTATTGAAATATTTCTTGAGTGTTTGTACACGTGTGACCGATCTCTTACATTCTTGGTGTAGGTAGCAACAGCAGATCTCCCCCTCCCCCTGTGGGGGTTGTATTTAGAGGTCCTGTAGGGACTTAGTAAGGACAGAGTGCCGGACACCGGGGGCCAGAGAGGGCTGTGAAGAACATCTCAGCCAGGGAGAGACAGAGGTTTTAAGGTAATGTGTGTGATCTCTGAGGTTTTGTTCCATGTCCAAATTTCTTAAATTTTTGCCAGTGTTAGAGTAGGATTTATAAGTGGTGATTAGCATAATTTTGGTCTCAATAAACTCATGTTAAATTTCCCGTCTGTGTCAATTGTTGAATCCTCTTAGCCTTTTGGATATAGTGGCTGACAACCATTTTCATAATTAATGACAGTCATAGAAAGTACTCTCCAAGTCAAGCAATGTTTCTTGCCTCGTTGCTTGATATAGTCTCAATGGTCAAAGGCAGATGGTGGCAGCGTATTTCATCCTGTGTAGCATTTCCTTGTCGGCAGTGTACCTTTGGTTCCAGTGTAACCATCATATGTCAGCTCACATTACCGTGTTTCATAACAGTGTTATCAAGTGCAACCGATGGGGAAGTGTTACTCAGGATAAGTAGTGTTAACATTATTAGTTTAGTAACCATTATAGTAGTGGTACACAATTGGTGGTGTTTCAAATTACTGTACAAACACTCAAGAAATATTTCAATAAGCTTGTTTGACATTCACCATACACTGTTCAAGAGAGGAGTTATTAATTACGTGTGTGACTGACCTCTGACCTGGCCAAAAGGGGGAGATCCATGGATGTTTACACATAAGAATCTGGGGTCTAATTCCCTTGCATGAAATATTACATACTTGAAACTATGCTGACTAAGACTAACCCAGGAATTTTTTTTTAATCAACATATAAGATAAACCGGAGGTCATCTGGGCTGACCTCTTGGAGAAGGCTTCCCTGGATGTGAACTCTAAGGGGGGGGGGGGGTCCTGGGTGTTACAGTGGTTGTTGGAGCAGGGGTGGTTAGGTGGTGGTTGTTGGGGCTTAGGTCGTAAGGTGGTGGTGGTTTTTCAGGGGTGGTCAGCTGGTGGTTGGGGCAGGGGTAGCCAGCTGGTGGTTGGGGCAGGGGTAGCCAGCTGGTGGTTGGGGCAGGGGTAGCCAGCTGGTGGTTGGGGCAGGGGTAGCCAGCTGGTGGTTGGGGCAGGGGTAGCCAGCTGGTGGTTGGGGCAGGGGTAGCCAGCTGGTAGTTGGGGCAGGGCTGGTTAGATTGTGGTGGTTAGGGTAGGGGACAGATTAGTTGCTAGTGATTCGAGCATGGGAAGAATGGATAGATGGTTAGGCGATAGTAAGAAGGGCAGGAGGAGGCCTGGTGGAGGGATGAGTACCGTGGTACTCACCTAGTAACCATGGTACTCGTTACTCGTTACTACTAGTACCAACGTTACCAGGAGTACCATCAACACGGGAGGAGGCCGGACTGTGTATTGACTGTTGTGGCTGAATACTCACCAGTGTGATGACCTTGGACCAAAGCAGGCCAACCCCGTCCTCCTGAAGTGTCAGTACCTACACGCTGGAAAGTACCGGTGTGTGTAGAGATGGACCACCAGAAAGTACTGGTGTGTGTAGTGATGGACCACCAGAAAGTACTGGTGTGTGTAGTGATGGACCACCAGAAAGTACCGGTGTGTGTAGTGATGGACCACCAGAAAGTACTGGTGTGTGTAGTGATGGACCACCAGAAAGTACTGGTGTGTGTAGTGATGGACCACCAGAAAGTACCGGTGTGTGTAGTGATGGACCACCAGAAAGTACTGGTGTGTGTAGTGATGGACCACCAGAAAGTACCGGTGTGTGTAGTGATGGACCACCAGAAAGTACCGGTGTGTGTAGTGATGGACCACCAGAAAGTACCGGTGTGTGTAGAGATGGACCACCAGAAAGTACCGGTGTGTGTAGTGACGGACCACCAGAAAGTACCGGTGTGTGTAGTGATGGACCACCAGAAAGTACCGGTGTGTGTAGTGATGGACCACCAGAAAGTACCGGTGTGTGTAGAGATGGACCACCAGAAAGTACCGGTGTGTGTAGTGATGGACCACCAGAAAGTACCGGTGTGTGTAGTGATGGACCACCAGAAAGTACCGGTGTGTGTAGTGATAGACCACCAGAAAGTACCGGTGTGTGTAGTGATGGACCACCAGAAAGTACCGGAGTGTGTAGTGATGGACCACCAGAAAGTACCGGAGTGTGTAGTGATGGACCACCAGAAAGTACCAGTATGTAGTGATGGACCACCAGAAAGTACCGGAGTGTGTAGTGATGGACCACCAGAAAGTACCAGTGTGTAGTGATGGACCACCAGAAAGTACCAATATGTAGTGATGGACCACCAGAAAGTACCAATATGTGGAGATGGACCACCAGAAAGTACCAATATGTAGTGATGGACCACCAGAAAGTACCAATATGGTGTGATGGACCACCAGAAAGTACCAGTATGTAGTGATGGACCAGCAGAAAGTACCAATATGTAGTGATGGACCACCAGAAAGTACCAATATGTAGTGATGGACCACCAGAAAGTACCAGTATGTAGTGATGGACCACCAGAAAGTACCAGTATGTAGTGATGGACCACCAGAAAGTACCAGTGTGTGTAGTGATGGACCACCAGAAAGTACCAATATGTAGTGATGGACCACCAGAAAGTACCAGTATGTTGTGATGGACCACCAGAAAGTACCGGAGTGTGTAGTGATGGACCACCAGAAAGTACCAGTATGTAGTGATGGACCACCAGAAAGTACCGGTGTGTGTAGTGATGGACCACCAGAAAGTACCAGTATGTAGTGATGGACCACCAGAAAGTACCGGAGTGTGTAGTGATGGACCACCAGAAAGTACCAGTATGTAGTGATGGACCACCAGAAAGTACCAGTATGTAGTGAAGGACCACCAGAAAGTACCAGTGTGTGTAGTGATGGACCACCAGAAAGTACCAATATGTAGAGATGGACCACCAGAAAGTACCAGTATGTAGTGATGGACCACCAGAAAGTACCAATATGTAGTGATGGACCACCAGAAAGTACCAATATGTAGTGATGGACCACCAGAAAGTACCAATATGTAGTGATGGACCACCAGAAAGTACCAATATGTAGTGATGGACCACCAGGAAGTACCAGTATGTAGTGATGGACCACCAGAAAGTACCAATATGTTGTGATGGACCACCAGAAAGTACCAATATGTTGTGATGGACCACCAGAAAGTACCAATATGTAGTGATGGACCAGCAGAAAGTACCAATATGGCTGGTGGTGGCAGTAGAGACCAGGCCAAGTGAGGAGGAGCGTTACCTTAGAGTTGGGGATCTTGTTCCAGTTGAAGGTCTTCATCTTGGAGCGAGGTTTGGGGGTCTCCATCTGCGGCAGCCGCACCTTCTCTTCCGCAGGTTCCTGGCGGCTCCTGGCGGCCGCCCCTGGAGGTCCTGGAGGACGGGGCGGCCCAGGCGGCGGTGGAGGTCCTCCTCCAGGCGGCGGTGGTGGAGGAGGTGGCCCGCCTGGAGGTGGAGGGGGAGGTGGCGGGCCACTACCTGGGGGCAGCGGCGGGGGTGGCGGGGGTGGCGGCGGACCCCCTGGCAGGGGCGGCGGCAGGGGCGAGGGGTCCGTCACAGGTGAGGTCAGCGTCGAAGGCGACAGTTGAGTATTAAGGTTGAGGTTGAGGGAGTGTTTGCGGGACTTGGGGTCGTCCCGGTGGCAGGAGCAGAGGCACCTGGAGGCGTCTCCCACCTTCAGCTTGGTGAGGGACTTCTGGGAGGGCGCCCTCAGGAGCCTGGCGGAGTCCCTGGCGTCCTCCAGCAGGGTGGCGCGGTGCAGCAGCTTCTCCGCCGTGTCCCAGATCACGTCACTCACCGGCTCCTTGGGGTCGATCCTCAGCAGGTGCTGCAGCACGCTGAGGAAGGGGATCTCCTGCGGCGTCTCCACCACCTGCCCGACACACATTCGTTATCGTTAGTTTCCACTTACTCCTAACATGACTATTTTCCTTAACAAACTTCTATGAACATATTCTCTGAAAATGGACAGCTATATGTACACATGCTTCACCCTAGCTACATGTACACATGCTTCACCCTAGCTACATGTACACATGCTTCACCCTAGCTACATGTACACACGCTTCACCCTAGCTACATGTACACACGCTTCACCCTAGCTACATGTACACATGCTTCACCCTAGCTACATGTACACACGCTTCACCCTAGCTACATGTACACACGCTTCACCCTAGCTATATGTACACATGCTCCACCCTATCTATATGTACACACGCTTCACCCTAGCTATATGTACACACGCTTCACCCTAGCAATATGTACACACGCTTCACCCTAGCTATATGTACACACGCTCCATCCTAGCTATACGTACACACGCTTCACCCTAGCTATATGTACACACGCTCCATCCTAGCTATACGTACACACGCTTCACCCTTGCTATATGTACACACGCTCCATCCTAGCTCTACGTACACACGCTTCACCCTAGCTATATGTACACACGCTTCACCCTAGCTATATGTACACACGCTTCACCCTAGCTATATGTACACACGCTTCACCCTAGCTATATGTACACACGCTTCACCCTAGCTATATGTACACACGCTTCACCCTAGCTATATGTCCACATGCTTCATCCTAGCTATATGTACACACGCTTCATCCTAGCTATATGTACACACTCTCCACCCTAGCTATATGTACACACGCTTCACCCTAGCTATATGTACACACGCTTCACCCTAGTTCTACGTACACACGCTTCACCCTAGCTATATGTACACACGCTTCATCCTAGCTATATGTACACACTCTCCACCCTAGCTATATGTACACACCCTCCACCCTAGCTATATGTACACACTCTCCACCCTAGCTATATGTACACACTCTCCACCCTAGCTATACATACGCACTGTGCACTGTTTGTATACATAGTCTCCACCCTAGCTATACATACATAGTGCACTATATGTATACATAACATGCACTGTACGTATATATACACAGTGGACAGTATGTACTTTAGGTATACATACACAGTGTGCACTGTATGTATACATGGCAAGCAATGTAGGAATACATACACAATGTTCAGAATGCATGGTAGGTATACATACAGTGGTAAGTATTCACCATAGTATACATTCACAGTGATCAGTATGCACCGTAAGTAAATACATGCACATTAGTCAGTATGCATCATAGGTAATTAATACATACACAGTAGTCAGTATGCACGATAAGTAAAGAATACATACACACTTGTCAGTATACACGGTAAGTAAAAAATACAAACATATTAGTCAGTATACACCGTAAGTAATGAATACATAAACAGTAGTTTGTACCGTAGTAATGAATACATACACAATAGTCATTATGCACTGTAAGTAAAGTATACATACACAGTAGTCAATAAAACACATATTTCCGAAGCCAGCATTTGAATATTCAATATCACAAAGCATTAAGTCGTATGTGTGTGTATATGAAGTATACAATACCTGACATGTATGCTTGAGGTCATTAACACTCCATCAACAAGGAGAAGCTTAACTATTGTTTCACACACACACACACACACACACACACACACACACACACACACACACACACACACACACACACACACACACACACACACACACACACACACACACACACACACACACACACACACACAGGTACTAGTCTGGTTTGCCACCAGACTAGTACCCGAGCTGAGAGGTATGAGCTACGAGGAGAGACTACGGGAATTAAACCTCACTTCGCTGGAAGACAGAAGAGTTAGGGGGACATGATCACCACATTCAAGATTTTGAAGGGAATTGATAGGGTAGATAAAGACAGTCTATTTAACACAAGGGGCACACGCACTAGGGGACACAGGTGGAAACTGAGTGCCCAAATGAGCAACAGAGATATTAGAAAGAACTTTTTTAGTGTCAGAGTGGTTGACAAATGGAATGCATTAGGCAGTGATGTGGTGGAGGCTGACTCCATACACAGTTTCAAGTGTAGATACGATAGAGCCCAATAGGCTCAGGAATCTGTACACCTGTTGATTGACGGTTGAGAGGCGGGACCAAAGAGCCAGAGCTCAACCCCCGCAAACACAACTAGGTGAGTACAACTAAGTGCACACACACACACACACACACACACAGAAGAGAACTCTGGATGGGGTATGAAGAGCGCCTGAAGGAACTGAGCCTTAGGACACTAGAAAGAAGAAGGGAGAGGGGGGATATGATAGGAACGTATAAAATACTTAGGGGAATTGACAGAGTGGAAATAGATGAAATGTTCACACGTAATACTAACAGAATGAGAGGACATGGGTGGAAGGTGGAAACTCAGATGAATTACAGAGATGCCAGGACGTTTTCTTTTAGCGTGAGAGTAGTGGAAAAATGGAATGCACTTGGGGAACAGGTTGTGGAAGCAAACTCCATTCATAATTTTAAAACTAGATACAATAGGGAAATAGGACCGGAGTCATTGCTGTAAACAAACGATGGCTAGAAAGCGGGATCCAAGAATCAATGCTCGACCCTGCAGGCACAAATAGATGAGTACACACACGCACACTCACATACACATGAGTACCAAGACTGAATACATCAGGGTGGGAAGAGAGGCAGAAAGACAATACGAAAATGACATGACATAGCAAGCAAACCAAAGACTCGACCTAAATTGCTGCACAGTCACGTCAGAAGAAAAACAACAGTGAAGGAACAGGTAATAAAACTGAGGATAGGGGATATTCACTACAAACGACAAGGAAGTGTGCGAAGAACTCAATAAGAAATTTCAGGAGATCTTCACAGTAGAGCAAGGGGAAATCCTAGAGATAAGAGAGGGAATATTTAACTAGGCACCACTGAAGGAGTTTGAGATTACAAGTGGGGGAGGTAAGGAAGCTTTTGCTAGAGGTAGAGAAACCAGTCTCCGTGTTGTAGTGGTAAGACACTCGCCTTGCGTTCCGCGAGCGCTTTGTCATGGGTTCGTATCGTGGCCGGGGAAGATTTACTGGGCGCAAATCCTTAACTGTAGCCTCTGTTTAACTCAACAGTAAAATGGGCACTTGGTTGTAAAAACGATTCTTCGCGGCGGGGATCGTATCCCAGGGACCAGCCCGAAACGCTACGCGTACTAGTGGCTGTACAAGAATGTAACAACTCATGTATATATCTCAAAAAAAAAAAAAAAAAAAAGTTGGATGTGACAAAGGCTATAGGTCCAAATGGAATCTCACTATAGATACAAAAGGACGAAGCAAAAGCACAGTGCCTGCCACTCTCCATGGTGTATAACAAATCACTGGTAACAGGTGAACTGCCAAAAATTTGGGAGACGACTAATGTAGTCCCATATACAAGAAGGGTGATTGACAGGAGGCACTGAACTACATGTCAATGTCCGTAACTTGCACACAATGTACGTTGATAGAGAAGATTGTGTGAAAAAAGCTTGTGGAACATCTGGAGCGAAAGAACTTTGTAACACAACATCAACATGGGATCTGGAATGGCTAATTATGCTTCACAGGATTAAATGAATTCTACGACCAGGCAACAAAAATCAGGCAAGAAAGAGAGGGGTGGGAAGACTGCATATTTTTGGATTGTGAAAAAGCTTTTGACACAGTACCACACAAGGGACTAGGTCACAAGCTGGAGATGCTGGTAGGAGTGGAAGCAAAGGTACTCCATTATATAAGGAGTACCTAAGCAACATAAGACAATGAGTCACTGTGAGGGGAGGGGGGGAGGTCTCAAGAGTGGCGAGGCGTCACCAGTGGAGTCCCACGGGGATCAGTCCTAGGACCCATACTGTTTCTGATATATGTAAATGATCTTTCAGAGGGAATAGACTTGTTCCTCTCTATGTTTGCTGATGATGCAAAAATTATGTGGAGGATTAAGACAGAGGAAGATAGTATGAGGCTACAAGATGACTTAGACAAACTGAATGAATGATCCAACAAATGGCTACTAAAATTCAATCCGAGTAAATGTAAGGTAATGGAACTAGGCGGAGGAAACAGGAGGCCAGACACAGGATACCGAATGAAAGATGATGTCTTTCATGAAACAGAGAGAAAGATTTAGGAGTTGATATCACGCCAAACCTGTCTCCTGAAGCCCACATCAAAATAATAACATCAGCGGCGTATGTAAGGCTGTCTAACATCAGAACTTCCTTCAGAAACCTGTGTAAGGAATCATTCAGGACCTTGTATACCACATATGTAATACCAATCCAGGATGCGGCCCCAGCATGGAGATCGTACATTGCCACTCACAAAACAAATCTGGAACAAGTTCAGAGGTATGCCACTAGAGGTATTCCAGATCACAGATCACGATTTGAGATTCGGCAGCCAGCATCCGTCACAGCCAGCCGTGTCTCTGGCTGCTTCAGCTCTCTCTGTCGCAGCACTTCTTGGCGATTAGAGCATTACCAAGACAGCTCCTGCTGCTTCTACCATGCGTCATAAACGGTACAAGGTCCGGGGAACGCCCCTCGACGAGCCTGCGTTCTCCAAGACAATCCTCCTGAAGCTCTAGCAGTAGCCGGCGTAACATCTATCGACACTGAACAAGAAGGCACGGACTTCGTCTTCGACTTCTCGAGCGAGGAGGACCTCGACGCACTGTTGCACAACCCCTATGAAATTCGGGAAGGCACATCCTTCCCCACTACCCAAGTCAACATATTGCTGCCCGATTAGTCTTTGTCAGTAGCCTCAGCCAATGGATCTATGAACAGAACCGTGGATCATATATACTAGCCAACATCGAGAAATCAAACGAGGACAGGAGTTATATAACTGTCATGTGCAACAACCGCACCTTGAAGCTCATCTTCACTACAGTAGCTGGGCCTACCAGGGCTGCCAAGAACGGTTTCTACTGCTTCGATATCCACGTTTCATCACACCAAATGAAGATGGAAAGCTTCTACAACGTCAACCAGTGCCTCCGGTGCTACGAGTACACCCATTCCAGCAAATGTCAACAGTGAAATCCAAAGTTTAGCCTCTGCTTAGCTGATCTCCATTATTCACGGTGTACCAATCACGGTATAGCACAGTAAAAGCATTGACATTGACGGCCAGAATGATCGCTGGCACTAGCCCCCAAGAATATGTGAGAATTCTGAATATTCTTTACAAAGCGAATGGTTCCCTAGCCTTCAAAGTTCCTGATGAAGTCTACACCACCACCGCTTCATCCTCAAGTTCTCTAGCTCCGGATCCGGACTTGGACATCATTGTGAGCACCGTCGCGCTTACGGACATACTGTCAACAGTTTTAACGCTCGCTCCTGCTACAACTGTATCACAGCCACTCTGGCGCCGACGCCTCCTCCTCCTTATCCATTGACAACTGCACAGTTCCACCTCTCTTGTGTGCTCCCACAGAACTATCTACATCTGCTGCAAGACCTGCGGCGACAACTCAATCTGCAATAACTCAAACCCTCAAGATTCACTGCCTCTGCTTTTGAGTCAGCCGACTCATTGGATGAAGAAGTCTCCGTTGGATCAACATCTCCGTGGTTCTACTCATCTAAAGATTTCCTTCTGGACACTACCTCTAACCACAGCGCCACCATGACAACGCATAGTCAGACCAACGGAACTAACCAAGAAGCCCAGGAGGAAGAAGACCGTAAATCCGAGCCTGATAAAATCGTCAAGAAAAAAGTTCATCTACGAAATGTAGTAGCGAAGAACACCACCAGATCCGCGACGAGAAGCCCGGCCTCCTGCAAGACACATCAACGAGCAACCATGTGAGTTCCACCCTACCACCAAACCACAGCATCAGCTGCAAGTCTTATCTATGGTGGTTGGGTCACCGACCTTTTTCACCCCTCTTCGACTTGTCTCCAGTTCCTAGCGCAAGAATTCTGCATCCTCGTCCCTGCCTTCCATCTTCTGCTTACCTGCTCTATGGTCCTTGGAACATTGGAATGCCACTAGGCTAGTCCCAGAACTAAGAGGCATGAATTACGAAGAAAGGCTGCGTGAAATGCACCTCCCTACGCTGGAACAGGAGAGCTCGGGGAGACATGATAACCACATACAAAAATCTCAGAGGAATTACCAGAGTAGATAAAGATAAACTGTTTAACACTGGTGGTACGCGAACAAGGGGACACAGGTAGAAAATGAGTACCCAAATGAGCCACATGGACGTTAGGAAGAATTTTTTCAGTGTCAGAGTAGTTAACAGATGGAATGTATTAGGCAGCGATGTGGTGGAGGTTGACTCCATACACAGTTTCAAATGTAGATATGATCTCGAGCCCAGTAGGCTCAGGAATCTGTACACCAGTTGATTGACAGTTGAGAGGAGGGACCAAAGAGTCAGAGCTCAACTCCCGCAAGCACAACTAGGTGAACACACACACACACACACACACACACACACACACACACACACACACACACACACTACAGGGCCTCGTAGCCTGGTGGATAGCGCGCAGGACTCGTAATTCTGTGGCGCGGGTTCGATTCCCGCACGAGGCAGAAACAAATGGGCCAAGTTTCTTTCACCCTAAGTGCCCCTGTTACCTAGCAGTAAATAGGTACCTGGGAGTTAGTCAGCTGTCACGGGCTGCTTCCTGGGGTGTGTGTGTGTGGTGTGGGAAAAAAAAAAAAAAAAAAAAGTAGTTAGTAAACAGTTTATGATTGACAGTTGAGAGGCGGGCCGAAAGAGTAAAGCTCAACCCCCGCAAAAACACAACTAGTAAACACACACACACACACACAACACCTAGCATGGGTGAGGAACTACTTAACAGGAAGGAGCCAGAGGGTAATGGTAAGGGACGGATCAAGGTGCTGGGACCAATCCTCTTTCTAATTTACGTAAATGATATGTTTACAGGAGTGGAATCATACATGTCAATGTTTGCGGATGACGCAAAATTAATGAGAAGAGCTGTGACAGATGAGGATAGGTGGATCCTCCAAGAGGACTTAAACAGGTTGCAGAGATGGTCAGGGAAATGGCTACTGGAGTTCAACACCAGTAAATGTAAAGTTATGGAAATGGGATCAAATGATAGGCGACCAAAGGGACAGTACACAATGAAGGGGAACTGCCTACCTGTAACGAATCGAGAAAGAGACCTGGGAGTGGATGTGACACCTAATCTAACTCCTGAGGCACATTAATAGGATAACGACAGCAGCGTACTCTACACTGGCGAAAATTAGAACTTCATTCAGAAACCTAAGTGAGGAGGCTTTTAGGGCGCTTTACACTGCCTACGTGAGACCAGTATTAGAGTATACCGCGCCATCATGGAGCCCTCACCTGAAGAAACACATAAGGAAACTGGAGAAGGTTCAGAGGTTTGCGACGAGGCTTGTCCCAGAGTTACGAGGGATGGGATATGAAAAGCGTCTGAGGGAACTGAACCTTACGACACTAGAGAAAAGAAGGGAGAGAGGAGATATGATAGGGACATATAAAATACTCAGGGGAATTGACAAAGTGGAAAGAGATGAAATGTTCACACGTAATAATAACAGATGTTCACACGTAATAATAACAGAACGAGGGGACATGGGTGGAAACTGGAAACTCAGATGAGTCACAGAGACGTTAGGAAGTTTTCTTTTAGCGTGAGAGTAGTGGAAAAATGGAATGCACTTGGGGAACAGGTTGTGGAAGCAAACTCTATTCATACTTTTTTAAAATTAGGTATGATAGGGAAATGGGACAGGAGTTATTGCTATAAACAACCGATGACTGGAAAGGCGGGATCCAAGAGTCAATGCTCGATCCTGCAAGCACAAATAGGTGAGTACAAATAGGTGAGCACACACACACACACACACACACACATGGGGGCCTCGTAGCCTGGTAGATAGCGGGGGGAGGGGCCTCGTAGCCTGATGGATAGGGCGCAGGACTCGTAATTTTTGAGATATACTGTGGCGCGGGTTCGATTCCCGCACGAGGCCGAAACAAATGGGCAAAGTTTTTTTCACCCTGAATGCCCCTGTTAGCTAGCAGTAAATAGGTACCTGGGAGTTAGTCAGCTGTCACGGGCTGCTTCCTGGGGGGTGTGTGTGTGTGTGTGTGGTGTGAAAAAAAAGTAGTTAAAAGTTAGTGTAGTTAGTAAACAGTTGATTGACAGTTGAGAGGCGGGCCGAAAGAGCAAAGCTCAACCCATTGCAAACACAACTAGGTGAACACACACACACACACACACACACACACAAGAGAAGACAGGAACCTGTCTCACCTTTATCTTCATGGACCAAATATCTGAATAAAGCAGACGTTTCTCTCCTCATTTAATCTTCTTCCACCTGTTTTCCTCTCACATGTCCGTCCCCCTTCATCCCCCCCCCCCTCTCACCTGTCTGAGGATGGCGTAGAAGACGTCGAGGTGAGAGCTGAGGTCGACGCCATCAGGCCCGGAGATCTGGGCCTCGTCGGTGTCCCTCTGCTCGTCGAACACGTCCAGCTGCACGGCAAGGTCCGCGTCCGTCCCCGCCGCTTGTCTGTCCGTACACGGCTGTGTTAGGCTCCTCTCTCACTCCCCTCTCCTCTCACTCTGCCCCCTCTACTCTCATTCACCCCTCCCCTCTCACTCACCCATACTCATCCATGGCCATTTGTCTGTTCATTCAGACGATATAGTCTCCTCTTACCCACCCCAACTCATCTCTTGTCACTTGCATTTCCACTGACCATATTAGGCTCATTTTACTCAACCTTTTACTCATCCCTGAATACTTATTCATCCCTGGCCGGTTGCCTGTCTGCACACACTTAATTTGGTTTCTCATTCCCTTGGCCTCTTACTTATTCTTGGCAATCTTCTCACCCCTGGAAATTAACTGTCTTGGGAGCCGATCTTTTGCCTCCAGATATACTTGATCTCTTATTCAACCCTTATCACTTAATTACTCACATGTAGCCACTTACTCACCCTTGCCCATTTACTCAGCCATTATCACTCCCCACTGAACACTTACACAGCCTTCACAACTTACTCAGCCACAACAAATTTCTTCTGTCAGACAACTTGCTCAGCCCTAACAAGTTACTCAACTTCGACCCATTACTTAGGTTATCCAGTCACATAATTCAGCCTCTTACTAAGCTCGACTTGATTCAGTTTGACCCCCAGTTCGATCCTGACATAGTTGCTCTCCGTACTTGGTTAATCCTATTAGCGCTAACTCTCCAGCCACTTGACAACATTGAGGTAAAGTTAGCACATGAGGGCTTGAGTACGGGGCTTGTGAAAGCCTTGAGCTCTTCACTCTAACATTGTTACTTGTGAAGTAAATATTAACACTTGAATACAACAATTATTTCATCCCCGTTCTCAAGCACACATTAACAGTCGTAACAGCGAGGCTTGGCTCTATCTCAAGACTAAAGAGTAGTGACAATCTTCAGCAACCATTTAATAATATTTACAAATGATAAGAAGTTAAGGACAAGTATTTCTGGACTATTTATAGCAGGTAAGACTTTTATGATGACTTTAAACATGTCTGGTGAATGACTTAAGATTATGAGGTGAGTGATGATTAGAATGGACGAGTTATTAAGACGTGAACACGTGCACAGCTCAAGGTGGTTCCTATGTGTTCTGTGAACCTGCTTTTTGTTCATGGAGAGTTCTATCATCCTATTACAGGTGAGTGTACCATTACAGGTGAGTGTATCATTACAGGTGAGTGTACCATTACAGGTGAGTATACCATTACAGGTGAGTGTACCATTACAGGTGAGTGTACCATTACAGGTGAGTGTATCATTACTGGTGAGTGTACCATTACAGGTGAGTGTACCATTACAGTTGAGTATATCATTACAGGTGAGTGTATCATTACAGGTGAGTATACCATTACAGGTGAGTGTACCATTACAGGTGAGTGTATCATTACAGGTGAGTGTACCATTACAGGTGAGTATACCATTACAGGTGAGTGTACCATTACAGGTGAGTGTACCATTACAGGTGAGTGTACCATTACAGGTGAGTGTATCATTACAGGTGAGTGTACCATTACAGGTGACAGGTGTATCATTACAGGTGAGTGTACCATACTGGTGAGTGTACCATTACTGGTGAGTACCATACCATGAGTGCACAGGTGAGTGTACCATTACAGGTGAGTGTATCATTACAGGTGAGTATACCATTACAGGTGAGTGTATCATTACTGGTGAGTGTATCATTACAGGTGAGTGTACCATTACAGGTGAGTGTATCATTACAGGTGAGTGTATGAGTGTACCATTACAGGTGAGTGTACCATTACAGGTGAGTGTACCATTACAGGTGAGTGTATCATTACTGGTGAGTGTATCATTACAGGTGAGTGTATTACTGGTGAGTGTACCATTACAGGTGAGTGTATCATTACAGGTGAGTGTATCATTACAGGTGAGTGTATCAGTACAGGTGAGTGTACCATTACTGGTGAGTGTACCATTACTGGTGAGTGTATCATTACAGGTGAGTGTATCATTACAGGTGAGTATACCATTACAGGTGAGTGTACCATTACAGGTGAGTGTACCATTACAGGTGAGTGTATCATTACAGGTGAGTGTACCATTACAGGTGAGTGTACCATTACAGGTGAGTGTACCATTACAGGTGAGTGTATCATTACAGGTGAGTGATACCATTACAGGTGAGTATACCATTACAGGTGAGTATACCATTACAGGTGAGTGTACCATTACAGGTGAGTGTACCATTACAGGTGAGTGTACCATTACAGTGTACCATTACTGGTGAGGTGAGTACCATTACAGGTGAGTGTACCATTACAGGTGAGTGTACCATTACTGGTGAGTGTACCATTACAGGTGAGTGAGTACCATTACTGGTGAGTGTACCATTACTGGTGAGTGTACCATTACTGGTGAGTGTATCATTACTGGTGAGTGTACCATTACTGGTGAGTGTACCAGGTGAGTGTATCATTACAGGTGAGTGTATCATTACAGGTGAGTATACCATTACAGGTGAGTGTACCATTACAGGTGAGTGTATCATGTACAGGTGAGTGTACCATTACAGGTGAGTGTACCATTACAGGTGAGTGTACCATTACAGGTGAGTGTATCATTACAGGTGAGTGTACCATTACAGGTGAGTGTATCATTACTGGTGAGTGTATCATTACAGGTGAGTGTATCATTACAGGTGAGTGTATCATTACAGGTGAGTATACCATTACAGGTGAGTGTACCATTACAGGTGAGTATACCATTACAGGTGAGTGTATCATTACTGGTGAGTGTATCATTACAGGTGAGTGTATCATTACAGGTGAGTGTACCATTACAGGTGAGTATACCATTACAGGTGAGTGTATCATTACTGGTACCATTACAGGTGAGTGTATCATTACAGGTGAGTGTATCATTACAGGTGAGTATACCATTACAGGTGAGTGTACCATTACAGGTGAGTGTACCATTACAGGTGAGTGTATCATTACAGGTGAGTATACCATTACAGGTGAGTGTACCATTACAGGTGAGTGTACCATTACAGGTGAGTGTATCATTACAGGTGAGTATACCATTACAGGTGAGTATACCATTACAGGTGAGTATACCATTACAGGTGAGTGTACCATTACAGGTGAGTGTACCATTACAGGTGAGTGTATCATTACAGGTGAGTATACCATTACAGGTGAGTGTACCATTACAGGTGAGTGTACCATTACAGGTGAGTGTATCATTACAGGTGAGTATACCATTACAGGTGAGTGTACCTTTACAGGTGAGTATACCATTACAGGTGAGTGTATCATTACTGGTGAGTGTATCATTACAGGTGAGTGTATCATTACAGGTGAGTGTATCATTACAGGTGAGTATACCATTACAGGTGAGTATACCATTACAGGTGAGTGTATCATTACAGGTGAGTGTATCATTACAGGTGAGTATACCATTACAGGTGAGTGTACCATTACAGGTGAGTGTATCATTACAGGTGAGTATACCATTACAGGTGAGTGTACCATTACAGGTGAGTGTATCATTACAGGTGAGTATACCATTACAGGTGAGTGTACCATTACAGGTGAGTGTACCATTACAGGTGAGTGTATCATTACAGGTGAGTATACCATTACAGGTGAGTGTACCATTACAGGTGAGTGTATCATTACAGGTGAGTATACCATTACAGGTGAGTGTACCATTACAGGTGAGTGTACCATTACAGGTGAGTGTACCATTACAGGTGAGTGTACCATTACAGGTGAGTGTACCATTACAGGTGAGTGTATCATTACAGGTGAGTATACCATTACAGGTGAGTGTACCATTACAGGTGAGTGTATCATTACAGGTGAGTGTATCATTACAGGTGAGTGTATCATTACAGGTGAGTATACCATTACAGGTGAGTGTATCATTACTGGTGAGTGTATCATTACAGGTGAGTGTATCATTACAGGTGAGTATACCATTACAGGTGAGTGTACCATTACAGGTGAGTGTATCATTACAGGTGAGTGTATCATTACAGGTGAGTGTATCATTACAGGTGAGTATACCATTACAGGTGAGTGTATCATTACTGGTGAGTGTACCATTACAGGTGAGTGTACCATTACAGGTGAGTGTACCATTACAGGTGAGTGTATCATTACAGGTGAGTATACCATTACAGGTGAGTGTACCATTACAGGTGAGTATACCATTACAGGTGAGTGTACCATTACAGGTGAGTGTACCATTACTGGTGAGTGTACCATTACAGGTGAGTATACCATTACAGGTGAGTGTATCATTACAGGTGAGTATACCATTACAGGTGAGTATACCATTACAGGTGAGTGTACCATTACTGGTGAGTGTACCATTACAGGTGAGTGTACCATTACAGGTGAGTATACCATTACAGGTGAGTGTACCATTACAGGTGAATGTACCACTACAGGTGAGTGTACCATTACAGGTGAGTGTACCATTACAGGTGAGTGTACCATTACAGGTGAGTGTACCATTACAGGTGAGTGTACCATTACTGGTGAGTGTACCATTACAGGTGAGTGTACCATTACTGGTGAGTGTACCACTACAGGTGAGTGTACCACTACAGGTGAGTGTATCATTACAGGTGAGTGTACCATTACTGGTGAGTGTACCATTACAGGTGAGTGTACCATTACAGGTGAGTATACCATTACAGGTCACTATACCTTTATGTTTAAGTGAACCATGAAGTAAAGGATGAAGTAAACTCATTCCTATGTACACCAAACTGTCATTATTGAATATATTTGTTAAATAATGTTGGAGTTGGATGTAAAGTCCATTAACTTCCAGAGGGCTGTTAAGGCGACTCAAACTGTTTGACTGAACCACCAGGAGGAATACTTCCGTCCTGAACATAGCCCAGAGCTGAAGTAAACTTTGTGTATATATACACACACCGAGAAGCTGAATACACATCTCGGTATCCAGTATATATACCTCTTAATGTTTAGTTCTGCTCTTAAGACCTATCAACCTCTGGAGGGTTATTAAGTCCAACATAATGATACACTGACCAATTAACAAGTTTACCTTAGTCCTGAAGTAAACTAAAATATACTCCCACGTGTATATACACCGAGAAGCGGGGTAAATACACCGCTAAGTGTATATATATCCCAAATGTGTATTAATATTTGTTGTTCTCGTAATCTTACCTCAGTCTACTGATGACTTCCAAGACTTTGAGACCTATGGGAAAATAAAATCATAAAATACTGTGTTGTATAGAGAACAATATATGTAAATAATAAAAGTAATTGAATGATGGTAACTTTTAAAACTGAAACTTAAGTTAAACTTATTCTAAACATTAAAGTAAACAAAACAAAACAAAAGGGATTTGTTTACGCAAACTTTTAGTGAAATAGACAAAAGGGGACTCAAAAAAGACCCCTACAAAAGGGGAAGTAACTCAAAAAAGCCCCTACAAAATGGGAAGTAACTCAATAAAGCCCCTACAAAATGGGAAGTAACTCAATAAAGCCCCTACAAAATGGGAAGTAACTCAATAAAGCCCCTACAAAAGCAAATGACAACAATTTCTTTACTCTAACATTAAAAGCTTTAACAATCCGTATAACAATTCCCGAGAGCCTAGAAGCACCAGCCTACCGATGAACTCATTCCTTATCCTGATCCTGTCCTTGAGGTGAGGGGTGGAGATGATGATGCAGTTGATGAAAGCGACGAGGGCCGTGTGGTACTCGGAGGTGGTCGCCGTCTTCAGCTCCTCCACCACCACCTTGAAGCGGTACCTCTCCGCCTTCAGCGCCTGCCTCGCCAGGGGGGACAACAGTTAACGGCTCACTCCTTTTGGCTTCAATATTTAGTTATTATTGCTGTCAAGACATTCATTTGGGTCTAATATATGTATTAGCATGGGTACAATGTGTGGTATTATTGGGCCCAATATGTGCGCTCTTAAGCTAATATGTGGGTTATTAAGGGACCAATATGTGCGCTCTTAAGCTAATATGTGGGTTATTAAGGGACCAATATGTGCTCATTAACGCTAAGATGTACATTCATATCATATGGCTTTAGAACCTGTTCTTTAACACCAAAGATGTGTTTATGGAGTGATGGCGGTGGTCGTCGCTCGCTGAGTTCATTATTGGTAAGTATGCATTAATATCCGTGTCAAGTGAACCAGGTCAGCTGTTGAAGTCAAAATGAACCTAACTCAGCTGGATGAGTTGAGACGGAATATATTATGACGAGGGGAGAGAGAGAGAGAGAGAGAGAGAGAGAGAGAGAGGGACGGTGGGGGAGGGGAACGTGTGGATGTCTACAGAAACAACTTGTTTTACAACCTCATGTGGGCCAGGACTGGCAGCCACGTGTGGGCCAAGACTGGCAGCCACATGTGGGCCAGGACTGGCAGCCACATGAGGGCCAGGACTGGCAGCCACATGAGGGCCAGGACTGGCAGCCACATGTGGGCCAGGACTGGCAGCCACGTGTGGGCCAAGACTGGCAGCCACATGTGGGCCAGGACTGGCAGCCACATGAGGGCCAGGACTGGCAGCCACATGAGGGCCAAGACTGGCAGCCACATGTGGGCCAGGACTGGCAGCCACATGAGGGCCAGGACTGGCAGCCACATGAGGGCCAAGACTGGCAGCCACATGTGGGCCAGGACTGGCAGCCACATGAGGGCCAGGACTGGCAGCCACGTGTGGGCCAAGACTGGCAGCCACATGTGGGCCAGGACTGGCAGCCACATGAGGGCCAGGACTGGCAGCCACATGAGGGCCAGGACTGGCAGCCACATGAGGGCCAAGACTGGCAGCCACATGTGGGCCAGGACTGGCAGCCACATGAGGGCCAGGACTGGCAGCCACATGAGGGCCAAGACTGGCAGCCACATGTGGGCCAGGACTGGCAGCCACATGAGGGCCAGGACTGGCAGCCACGTGTGGGCCAAGACTGGCAGCCACATGTGGGCCAGGACTGGCAGCCACATGAGGGCCAGGACTGGCAGCCACATGAGGGCCAGGACTGGCAGCCACATGAGGGCCAAGACTGGCAGCCACATGTGGGCCAGGACTGGCAGCCACATGAGGGCCAGGACTGGCAGCCACATGAGGGCCAAGACTGGCAGCCACATGTGGGCCAGGACTGGCAGCCACATGAGGGCCAGGACTGGCAGCCACATGAGGGCCAAGACTGGCAGCCACATGTGGGCCAGGACTGGCAGCCACATGAGGGCCAAGACTGGCAGCCACATGTGGGCCAGGACTGGCAGCCACATGAGGGCCAGGACTGGCAGCCACATGAGGGCCAAGACTGGCAGCCACATGTGGGCCAGGACTGGCAGCCACATGAGGGCCAAGACTGGCAGCCACATGTGGGCCAAGACTGGCAGCCACATGAGGGCCAGGACTGGCAGCCACATGAGGGCCAAGACTGGCAGCCACATGTGGGCCAAGACTGGCAGCCACATGTGGGCCAAGACTGGCAGCCACATGAGGGCCAAGACTGGCAGCCACATGTGGGCCAGGACTGGCAGCCACATGAGGGCCAAGACTGGCAGCCACATGAGGGCCAGGACTGGCAGCCACATGAGGGCCAGGACTGGCAGCCACATGTGGGCCAGGACTGGCAGCTACATGTGGGCCAAGACTGGCAGCCACATGAGGGCCAGGACTGGCAGCCACATGAGGGCCAGGACTGGCAGCCACATGAGGGCCAGGACTGGCAGCCACATGAGGGCCAGGACTGGCAGCCACATGAGGGCCAGGACTGGCAGCCACATGAGGGCCAGGACTGGCAGCCACATGTGGGCCAAGACTGGCAGCCACATGAGGGCCAGGACTGGCAGCCACATGAGGGCCAGGACTGGCAGCCACATGTGGGCCAAGACTGGCAGCCACATGAGGGCCAGGACTGGCAGCCACATGAGGGCCAGGACTGGCAGCCACATGAGGGCCAGGACTGGCAGCCACATGTGGGCCAAGACTGGCAGCCACATGAGGGCCAGGACTGGCAGCCACATGAGGGCCAGGACTGGCAGCCACATGAGGGCCAGGACTGGCAGCCACATGTGGGCCAAGACTGGCAGCCACATGTGGGCCAAGACTGGCAGCCACATGAGGGCCAAGACTGGCAGCCACATGAGGGCCAGGACTGGCAGCCACATGTTGGCCAGGACTGGCAGCCACATGTGGGCCAAGACTGGCAGCTACATGAGGGCCAAGACTGGCAGCCACATGTGGGCCAAGACTGGCAGCCACATGAGGGCCAAGACTGGCAGCCACATGTGGGCCAGGACTGGCAGCCACATGAGGGCCAGGACTGGCAGCCACATGTGGGCCAAGACTGGCAGCCACATGTGGGCCAAGACTGGCAGCCACATGAGGGCCAAGACTGGCAGCCACATGAGGGCCAGGACTGGCAGCCACATGTGGGCCAAGACTGGCAGCCACATGTGGGCCAGGACTGGCAGCCACATGAGGGCCAGGACTGGCAGCCACATGAGGGCCAGGACTGGCAGCCACATGAGGGCCAGGACTGGCAGCCACATGAGGGCCAGGACTGGCAGCCACATGTGGGCCAAGACTGGCAGCCACATGAGGGCCAGGACTGGCAGCCACATGAGGGCCAGGACTGGCAGCCACATGAGGGCCAGGACTGGCAGCCACATGTGGGCCAAGACTGGCAGCCACATGTGGGCCAAGACTGGCAGCCACATGAGGGCCAAGACTGGCAGCCACATGAGGGCCAGGACTGGCAGCCACATGTGGGCCAGGACTGGCAGCCACATGTGGGCCAAGACTGGCAGCTACATGAGGGCCAAGACTGGCAGCCACATGTGGGCCAAGACTGGCAGCCACATGAGGGCCAAGACTGGCAGCCACATGTGGGCCAGGACTGGCAGCCACATGAGGGCCAGGACTGGCAGCCACATGTGGGCCAAGACTGGCAGCCACATGTGGGCCAAGACTGGCAGCCACATGAGGGCCAAGACTGGCAGCCACATGAGGGCCAGGACTGGCAGCCACATGTGGGCCAAGACTGGCAGCCACATGTGGGCCAAGACTGGCAGCCACATGTGGGCCAAGACTGGCAGCCACATGTGGGCCAAGACTGGCAGCCACATGTGGGCCAAGACTGGCAGCCACATGTGGGCCAAGACTGGCAGCCACATGAGGGCCAAGACTGGCAGCCACATGAGGGCCAGGACTGGCAGCCACATGAGGGCCAAGACTGGCAGCCACATGAGGGCCAAGACTGGCAGCCACATGAGGGCCAGGACTGGCAGCCACATGAGGGCCAAGACTGGCAGCCACATGAGGGCCAAGACTGGCAGCCACATGAGGGCCAAGACTGGCAGCCACATGAGGGCCAAGACTGGCAGCCACATGATGGCCAAGACTGGCAGCCACATGAGGGCCAAGACTGGCAGCCACATGTGGGCCAGGACTGGCAGCCACATGTGGGCCAAGACTGGCAGCCACATGTGGGCCAGGACTGGCAGCCACATGTGGGCCAAGACTGGCAGCCACATGAGGGCCAAGACTGGCAGCCACATGAGGGCCAGGACTGGCAGCCACATGTGGGCCAAGACTGGCAGCCACATGAGGGCCAAGACTGGCAGCCACATGAGGGCCAAGACTGGCAGCCACATGAGGGCCAAGACTGGCAGCCACATGTGGGCCAAGACTGGCAGCCACATGAGGGCCAAGACTGGCAGCCACATGAGGGCCAGGACTGGCAGCCACATGAGGGCCAAGACTGGCAGCCACATGAGGGCCAAGACTGGCAGCCACATGAGGGCCAGGACTGGCAGCCACATGAGGGCCAAGACTGGCAGCCACATGAGGGCCAAGACTGGCAGCCACATGAGGGCCAAGACTGGCAGCCACATGAGGGCCAAGACTGGCAGCCACATGATGGCCAAGACTGGCAGCCACATGAGGGCCAAGACTGGCAGCCACATGTGGGCCAGGACTGGCAGCCACATGTGGGCCAAGACTGGCAGCCACATGTGGGCCAGGACTGGCAGCCACATGTGGGCCAAGACTGGCAGCCACATGAGGGCCAAGACTGGCAGCCACATGAGGGCCAGGACTGGCAGCCACATGTGGGCCAAGACTGGCAGCCACATGAGGGCCAAGACTGGCAGCCACATGAGGGCCAAGACTGGCAGCCACATGAGGGCCAAGACTGGCAGCCACATGTGGGCCAAGACTGGCAGCCACATGAGGGCCAAGACTGGCAGCCACATGTGGGCCAAGACTGGCAGCCACATGAGGGCCAGGACTGGCAGCCACATGTGGGCCAAGACTGGCAGCCACATGTGGGCCAAGACTGGCAGCCACATGTGGGCCAAGACTGGCAGCCACATGAGGGCCAAGACTGGCAGCCACATGAGGGCCAAGACTGGCAGCCACATGTGGGCCAAGACTGGCAGCCACATGAGGGCCAAGACTGGCAGCTACATGAGGGCCAAGACTGGCAGCTACATGAGGGCCAAGACTGGCAGCCACATGAGGGCCAAGACTGGCAGCCACATGAGGGCCAAGACTGGCAGCCACATGTGGGCCAAGACTGGCAGCTACATGAGGGCCAAGACTGGCAGCCACATGTGGGCCAAGACTGGCAGCCACATGTGGGCCAAGACTGGCAGCCACATGAGGGCCAAGACTGGCAGCCACATGAGGGCCAAGACTGGCAGCCACATGTGGGCCAAGACTGGCAGCTACATGAGGGCCAAGACTGGCAGCCACATGAGGGCCAAGACTGGCAGCCACATGAGGGCCAAGACTGGCAGCCACATGTGGGCCAAGACTGGCAGCTACATGAGGGCCAAGACTGGCAGCCACATGAGGGCCAAGACTGGCAGCCACATGTGGGCCAAGACTGGCAGCTACATGAGGGCCAGGACTGGCAGCCACGTACCTTGTAGTGTTCCAAGGCGTCGATGGCCCTGTTGTAGCCGTCGACATTGTAGACGCACAGCGCCGACAGCAGCTCGAACACTTGCTTCTTGATGGTGACATTGCTGGTGTCCAGAGCTGTCAGGGAGAAAGAGAACACACAGTTAAATATCTGGTATGACCAAAACATAGAGGCACAGAGCCCTTCTAACATCATCTTCTCTAACCAAATATATAATCTGAACAAGATTGTTAAACCACCTAGTTGGGCGACGCAGTTAGGATCTCCATTGTCTTTTTGAGACGCCATTAGTTCAGTTTTCCCTGGAACACGATCCTCTAAAACGATTTAATTCATGTGCCCCATTACCTGCTGGGTAAATAGGGGCGAATTGGTAAACAACACACACACACACACATACACATGAGCAACCTTGGAGGAACTTGACCTCACCAGTGATGAGGTCAAAAGGTGTCTGCTGGAGCTGGATGTGACAAAGGCTGATGGGCCTGACAGAATCTCACCATGGATACTAAAGGAAGGTGCAGAAGCACTAAGTGTGCCACTCTCTATGGTGTATAACGGGTCACTGGAAACAGGAGACTTTCCAGAAAGTTGGAAGACAGCTAACGTGGTCCCAATATACAAAAAGGGTGACAGGCAAGAGGCACTGAATTACAGGCCAGTTTCCTTAACTTGTATACCATGCAAGGTGATGGAGAAGATCGTGAGGAAAAGGCTCGTAGAGCATCTGGAGGGAAATAACTTTGTAACGCACCACTAACATGGGTTCAGGGATGGTAAATCGTGCCTCACAGGTTTAATAGAATTCTATGACCAGGCAACAAAAATTAGGCAAGAAAGAGACGGGTGGGCCGACTGCATTTTCCTGGACTGTCAAAAAGCCTTTGACACAGTACCCCATAAAAGGCTGTTAAAAAAGTTGGAGCATCAGGCAGAAGTAAAAGGGAAGGTGCTCAAGTGGATAAGGGAGTACTTAAGCAATAGGAAACAGCGAGTAACGGTGAGGGAGGAGACATCAGAGTGGCGAGATGTCACCAGCAGAGTCCCACAGGGCTCAGTACTTGGACCCATCCTGTTTCTAATATATGTAAACGATCTTCTGGAAGGTATAGACTCGTTTCTCTCAATGTTTGCCGATGATGCAAAAATTATGAGAAGAATCATGACGGATGAAGATACAGAGACTACAGGATGACCTGGACAAACTGGAGGAATGGTCTAGAAAATGGCTGCTAAAGTTTAACTCAGGAAAGTGTAAGGTAATGAAATTAGGCAAAGGTAGCAGGAGGCTGAACACAAGGTATCATCTGGGAGGTGAAATCCTGCAAGAGTCAAATAGAGAGAAAGATCTTGGGGTTGATATCACACCGAACCTGTCCCCAGAGGCCCACATCAAAAGGATATCATCAGTAGCATATGCTACACTGACCAACATAAGAACTGCCTTTAGAAACTTGTGTAAGGAATCGTTCAGGACCCTGTATACCACTTATGTAAGACCAATCCTGGAGTATGCAGCTCCAGCCTGGAGTCCATACCTAGTTAAACACAAGACAAAGTTAGAGAAAATCCAGCGATATGCCTCCAGGCTCGTCCCGGAACTGAGAGGAATGAGCTACGAGGAAAGGGTAAAGGAGCTGAACCTCACATCCCTGGAAAACAGAAGAGTAAGGGGAGACATGATAACCACCTACAAAATTCTCAGGGGAATTGATAGGGTGGACAAAGACAAACTCTTCAGCACGGGTGGGACACGAACAAGGGGACACAGGTGGAAACTTAGTACCCAGATGAGCCACAGAGACGTTAGAAAGATTTTTTTCAGTGTCAGAGTAGTTAATAAATGGAATGAACTAGGAAGTGATGTGGTGGAGGCTGACTCCATACACAGTTTCAAATGTAGATATGATAGAGCCCAGTAGGCTCAGGAATCTGTATACGAGTTGATTGACAGTTGAGAGGCGGGACCAAAGAGCCAGAGCTCAACCCCCCGCAAGCACAATTAGGTGAGATCAATTAGGTGAGTACACACACACACACACACACACACACACATGAACAGACAGACAGACAGACAGACAGACAGACAGACAGACAGACAGACAGACAGACAGAGAGAGAGAGAGAGAGAGAGAGAGAGAGAGAGAGAGAGAGAGAGAGAGAGAGAGAGAGAGAGAGAGAGAGAGAGGACTAGCAGGAGAGGGGGTCACAACCTGTATGACCCAGTAACCTGGAGCAGAGCTCCCCCCCTCCCAGAAGACCTCCCCCCTCCCCACCTGGGGGTAAGACCACCTGCTAACATCCCCTCTCTTCTCCCACGTTCCCTGAGCCCCCTGGCCCTCAGCAGGCCTCGGGCTGCCCCTCAGGGACCTAACAAACCCATCCCTGAGCCCCAAACAATCCTCCACACTTAGGGAAACGCGACAGCTGGGAGATGTGTTTTGAATGGACTTTCGCTTTCGCTCTCCAGGTGTAAGGCCGCCGCGGTTCGTGTCCTCCCTCCAGCACGTTAACTATGCGAGCGCACCTGGTGCTCCAGACCCATGCCATTACATCCCCGTGTGGGTAATTACTCCTTGGTTGGTGAGCCTTGGGGCTCATGGGTAGCTGCTCCACCTGACGTCTCACTGGCCAGGGTGACAGTGGCCAGGGTGACAGAGGCCAGGGTGACAGAGGCCAGGGTGACAGTGGCCAGGGTGACAGAGGCCAGGGTGACAGAGGCCAGGGTGACAGTGGCCAGGGTGACAGTGGCCAGGGTGACAGTGGCCAGGGTGACAGAGGCCAGGGTGACAGTGGCCAGGGTGACAGAGGCCAGGGTGACAGAGGCCAGGGTGACAGTGGCCAGGGTGACAGAGGCCAGGGTGACAGTGGCCAGGGTGACAGAGGCCAGGTTGCCAGTGGCCAGGGTGACTGGCCAGGGTGACAGAGGCCAGGTTGCCAGTGGCCAGGGTGCCAGTGGCCAGGGTGACAGTGGCCAGGGTGACAAAGGCCAGGGTGACAGTGGCCAGGGTGACAGAGGCCAGGGTGCCGGTGGCCAGGGTGACAGAGGCCAGGTTGCCAGTGGCCAGGGTGACAGAGGCCAGGGTGACAGTGGCCAGGGTGACAGTGGCCAGGGTGACAGTGGCCAGGGTGCCAGTGGCCAGGGTGACAGTGGCCAGGGTGACAGAGGCCAGGGTGACAGTGACCAGGGTGACAGAGGCCAGGGTGACAGTGGCCAGGGTGACAGAGGCCAGGGTGCCGGTGGCCAGGGTGCCAGTGGCCAGGGTGACAGTGGCCAGGGAGCCAGTGGCCAGGGTGACAGTGGCCAGGGTGCCGGTGGCCAGGGAGCCAGTGGCCAGAGTGACAGTGGCCAGGGTGCCAGTGGCCAGGGAGCCAGTGGCCAGGGTGACAGTGGCCAGGGTGACAGTGGCCAGGGAGCCAGTAACCAGGGTGACAGTGGCCAGGGTGCCGGTGGCCAGGGTGCCAGTGGCCAGGGAGCCAGTGGCCAGGGTGACAGTGGCCAGGGTGCCAGTGGCCAGGGTGACAGTGGCCAGGGTGACAGAGGCCAGGGTGACAGTGGCCAGGGTGACAGAGGCCAGGGTGACAGAGGCCAGGGTGACAGTGGCCAGGGTGACAGAGGCCAGGGTGCCGGTGGCCAGGGTGCCGGTGGCCAGGGTGCCAGTGGCCAGGGTGACAGTGGCCAGGGAGCCAGTGGCCAGGGTGACAGTGGCCAGGGTGCAGGTGGCCAGGGGGCCAGTGGCCAGGGTGACAGTGGCCAGGGTGCCAGTGGCCAGGGTGACAGTGGCCAGGGTGCCAGTGGCCAGGGTGACAGTGGCCAGGGTGACAGTGGCCAGGGTGCCAGTGGCCAGGGTGACAGTGGCCAGGGAGCCAGTGGCCAGGGTGACAGTGGCCAGGGTGACAGTGGCCAGGGTGCCAGTGGCCAGGGTGACAGTGGCCAGGGAGCCAGTGGCCAGGGTGACAGTGGCCAGGGTGCCAGTGGCCAGGGTGACAGAGGCCAGGGTGCCGGTGGCCAGGGTGACAGAGGCCAGGGTGACAGTGGCCAGGGTGACAGAGGCCAGGGTGACAGAGGCCAGGGTGACAGAGGCCAGGGTGACAGTGGCCAGGGTGACAGAGGCCAGGGTGACAGAGGCCAGGGTGACAGACGCCAGGGTGACAGTGGCCAGGGTGACAGAGGCCAGGGTGACAGTGGCCAGGGTGACAGAGGCCAGGGTGCCGGTGGCCTGGGTGCCAGTGGCCAGGGTGACAGAGGCCAGGGTGCCGGTGGCCAGGGTGACAGAGACCAGGGTAACAGTGGCCAGGGTGACAGAGGCCAGGGTGACAGTGGCCAGGGTGACAGAGGCCAGGGTGACAGTGGCCAGGGTGACAGAGGCCAGGGTGACAGTGGCCAGGGTGACAGTGGCCAGGGTGCCGGTTGCCAGGGTGACAGAGGCCAGGGTGACAGAGGCCAGGGTGACAGTGGCCAGGGTGACAGTGGCCAGGGTGCCAGTGGCCAGGGTGACAGTGGCCAGGGTGACAGTGGCCAGGGTGCCGGTGGCCAGGGTGACAGAGGCCAGGGTGACAGTGGCCAGGGTGACAGTGGCCAGGGTGCCAGTGGCCAGGGTGACAGTGGCCAGGGTGCCAGTGGCCAGGGTGACAGAGGCCAGTGGCCAGGGTGACAGAGGCCAGGGTGCCAGTGGCCAGGGTGACAGTGGCCAGGGTGCCGGTGGCCAGGGTGACAGAGGCCAGGGTGCCAGTGGTCAGGGTGACAGTGGCCAGGGTGACAGAGGCCAAGGTGACAGTGGCCAGGGTGACAGAGGCCAGGGTGACAGTGGCCAGGGTGACAGTGGCCAGGGTGACAGCGGCCAGGGTGACAGTGGCCAGGGTGACAGTGGCCAGGGAGCCAGTGGCCAGGGTGACAGTGGCCAGGGAGCCAGTGGCCAGGGTGACAGTGGCCAGGGAGCCAGTGGCCAGGGAGCCAGTGGCCAGGGTGACAGTGGCCAGGGAGCCAGTGGCCAGGGTGACAGAGGCCAGGGTGACAGTGGCCAGGGTGACAGAGGCCAGGGTGACAGTGGCCAGGGAGCCAGTGGCCAGGGTGACAGTGGCCAGGGTGACAGTGGCCAGGGTGACAGAGGCC